TTATTGGTTCATTTTTGGCGTTTGTGCATATACTGATTTGAAGATGCGTTTGTTGCTGTTGCTGGCCTTTGGAATTTACACAAACCCGCTGAAACTGAGACATGACGGTACCCCACCTGAGCCGCCCCATCTGAATATGACTGCAATTATTGGTGGTCCCTTTCACATCTCGTGCATGCATGTGAAGTCAATTGAACAAAAAAGAAAGAAGGAGAACATGCAAGAAAAAAGTTGAACCCATATTATACACATATGCACACTCTGTATATTATATTCATAGAGAGAGTAGACTGGCGGCATGCACAGGGGTAGATCAGTTGAAATCTATTCTCAGAGCAAAACCGTGGGGGAGAAATAAAAGGAAAAAACAAAGCAGTTTTAACTTGTTAACGTCGGACATGGATTATTATACCGAGTGGTAGTTTAATAAGCCAAAATATATCAACTCGAGGGATCAAATGCGGCATCTCGAAGCGGTTGAATGCGTTTTTCTCCCTCTTTAAAAAATTGCTTTCTGACATATAGACATTGAATCTGCAATATACTAATGTGGTATGAGGTTTTGACAGAGATCGAGGTTGCGGCTTTCACGACACGACATCGTCGGCCAGGGCAAGTTGCACATTCAAATTACCAAAAAATGTCTTCGCGTCTGGGAGTTCGGTCGGGGATGGTGATGGCGGGATGAGCTTATTTTAATTATTGCTAGAAAGAAAAGATGTGGGGTCAAGTCAAAGTTCCTAAATGGGTCACTTAATGCACTGCAACTGGCCGTTTGGTTAGTTGAGGAGCTCCCTTGACTTGAGGCTTTCACTACTTTTACTCTTTCACTCATTCTAAGGGCCATGTTTGCTGTAATGTATGCCAGCAAACCAAAAACAGAACGAAATTAATTGGGAAAGCACCCGGTATATACTACTCCTCCGGTCCTAATTATAAGACCCAATCCATTTTCTCTCTTATATTTATGCATTTTTTTCTAAGATAATCCTTCTAATAATGATAGTTTTAGCCAATATACTTAATTAGCAAGGATATTTTAGGAATAACAACTCTTATTTATTATAAATAACCAACTTAACTTACTTCCTTAATCTCCTCAAATAAGTCAATTGGGTCTTATAATTAGGACCGGAGGAGTATTATTTTTTATCTTTTATATAAGAACTAGTTAATTAATTTAAATATATTAAAAAAAATTAGTCAAGTTAGTTATTTGTAATAAATATTTGTTACACTTCTTAAAATATTTTTGTTAATCAACTATATTGGTTAGAACTGCTATTATTACAAGGACTACTTTAAAAAAATAAATAAATATGAAAAATAAGACAGATTAAGGTATTATATTTAGGACTAAAATAAAAACCAATCAAACTACCTTTTAAGTAGATTTTAATGAATGTGACGTTCCATATTCCGTTGTCGTACGTAAGAAAAATATTGCCATTTTCGTATTTAAAAAATGGCCATTTGTTAAAAGTTCTAAATGTCAATAGATTTAAATTCCCATTTGTTAGAAAAAAATAATTTAATACTACCTCCAGTTCTTAATATAAGATCTTATTTGACTTTTATTTTGATCTTAATTATAAGACCCCAATTTATTTTGTTTCTTATAGTTTGCATTTTTTTCCAAGATAGCCCCTCTAATAATAATAGTTCTAGTCAATAAGCTTGATTAGCAAGGATATTTTAGGAAATATAGTACCTATTTATTACAAATAACTAACTTAACTTGTTTTTTTAATCTCTTCAAATTAGTCAACTAGCTCTTATAATTAGGACTGGAGGTAGTAAGTAATAAAAAATAAAATAGAAGGATCCATAAACTCCAGTATCAAACTTACGAGTTAAGACATGCCATCCTCACTTTTTATTGTCCATTTATTTTCTCCTCTTGTTTTCATTCCAAGTCCTCCTTTTAAACAAGTGGCATCAAAATCAAATTCCGCTAAATATGTAAAGATCGACGACCTTGGAATTCTGTAATAACATGCATGTTTGAAGCTCAAAATCTGGGACTAACCTTGATTACGAAAACAAGGAATTGTGAAACATCTAAAATGGAGATTGTTAGGGCATCCAAGGATGAGTAAAGCTGAATTGATGTCCTATATTAGATTAAGTTAGATTTAATAATAAGTAATGCACAACAAAGTGAAATTACTAGTATAAAATGTAGGTTGAGCAGTATTTTGAATTAAGACGTGATGTCCTTTATTCTCTTTCCTGTTTTTAATCAAGCTTTGCTGCCATTCCCAACTTGGACATCCTATGTGTATGTTAGTTTATGATGTCAAGAAAGCTTGTTCAATCGCACACTAGAATTAGAATTGTTTTGACCCAAAAAAAAAAAAACAGAGAGAGAGAGAAATTGTCAAAAAGCGGGACTGCACATCAGAGGCTAAATCCCATTTATGTCAACGTATTCAGATGCACTAATCCAGATCTCACAAAGAATTAAGTAAAAGTTAATTTGTCGTTTGTGGACATTATTTTCCTGGGGCCTGCGCTGTCTTTTTTTTTATTTGTGCTCGTTGGGGCATGAGGTGTCTCGTGCGGATGACTTTACATTCTTTCACTCTTAATTTAATCCATGGGACGTGACCCTATGGTTGGGAAAAGAAAGCAGAAGTCTTCGAATTTCGAATTTAGACTAAAAATAAAGCATTTTCAAGAATCGAACAAAAGAACCACCATATATTATACGAACGCCACCAACCGTTGTCCCGCCTACCATGAAAAAAGAACCGGGCAAAATACAAAAGGTTAGATGGAAAGTTTGTTTTTCTAAATTAATTATTATTCATTCTCAAACTATCATTATTAATTACGTGTCAATAATAATAGTTCCATACAATTTTATAAGCAAGTAATTTAGCTAAATACAAGAACCGAACCAGTTGTTACAGCCAGACCTGTTGGAATGAAGTGTTGATTTGAAACAGGGCGGGGACGGCTTCTAGCCGAAGTAGGGGTTAGATGGGGGTAGGTTGCTTATGCGTGGTTAGTTGATTGACCGTTCACTTGCACACTACAATCAGCGGGCAGCTGGCAAATTATGAAAACCATATGAATGAGGTGGACCTTCGTGCCTCTACTTACCACTGTCCCCTGATTTTCTCTCCAGTTTTTAATTCGAAGTATTCGGATTAAAGTGGATTCGAAATCATCACGAGGGATATTGACTGTTTCACCAACCCAATTCCCCACCACGAATTATTACGGTTACCACTTAACAAAACGCAAAAGTGAGTATCGAATATCTTGCCTCCTCTCCTTTCATGCCTTCTTTCTCCGTGGAACAATCATGAGTGGCTTTTGTGTTTCACGGTGCTTCTATCTTTTAGTTAGTCAAGACCACGTTCTCTTCTAGTTGATTAATTTTCACATAAAATACCAGTACAACCGAAAAAGTGATGGCAATTGATGATCTGAACATTAAACAAGGACAAACCAAGGCAAAAAAGAGAGGAGGTGACGTCTAGTAATGGAAGAGGGGCCAGGGAATCATAACGACGGGCTGCGCCTAAATAGAATTATATTTGGAGGCTAACAACGCCATGTAACAACCATTTCCACTGAAGAGAAGAAGGATGCAGGAGCGAAGCTTTTGTCGAGATGCCGTTCGATTATACATACGAGGGACGAAAAATAATGGAGAAGTGGGTTGCAAGTTATATAAGCGGAATTAGTTTTAAGAAGGGGCCGAAAGAGCGACCCACCTGCTTTCGTGGTGGCCCACTTTGGAGCCACATTAATAAATAAAGGGAAGAGAGCGCAGACAATGTTGCAGGCAGGCACGTGATGAAGAGTGAAGTCAAGTGGTGGGCTTGTGCCACGCTGTGAGGTAACTAGTAAGTGAGGTGGTGAAGAATGAAATATTAAAACGCAACCAAGAAGTTGAGTCTAACAGAAGGTACTGGTTTTCCATAACGTGGTGAATCAAGATTTAAATTTCTATTGAGAGAGGTGTCTATATTTAGTGCCTGACAGTGTCTCTAATAAGATTACTTCTAATAAGAAAATACTTATGTTTTAGCAAAAGAAATATTAAGACGCATCATTAAGCTTTTATGATCCCCCGGGGGGCGGGGGGGTAGGTGGCAACTAGCAGCCCCGAAAGAGGCACACGCCCACCACCTAGCCGACATACACGCACGCACAGCGACGGTACTTGAACTGTGGGGTTGGTGGATTGAGGCCAGTAAGACCTCTCATTTTCAATCTGTAGGGCTCGTCAGGCGTCGTTTAAAGAAAAAGGAAGAAAAAGAAAAGCTTGCCGTTTGCTTGTTCATTATTTTCACTGCAATTTGTGAGCTTGACCAACCCAACAAAATATTTTGATTAACATGGGGGAGCGGAAGCTGGTGCCGTGAATTTAATTTTGTTTGTAATCTCAGGTTCTGCCTGTCCTTCAAAGTACTACTTGGTACAAGAAAAATGAAGAGGAGGATAAGGGAAGAAATGGGATTTTAAAATTTTAATAAAGATAAAAAATAATATAAAAGAGTAATAAAAATTAATTAAAAGCTTTTAACCCTGGTTTTTTTTAAAGCGAGTTTATTAAAACTTTTCCTATCTTTCCCTCTTTTTATTTTTCCTTATACCAAATAAACCCTAATTCTCTTCATTTCCCTCCTCTTTCTGGGTCAAAGGTCGGTTCAATGATGAGAAACCGGATTTACCCCAGTCAAAAATTATGATCTGAACACAAAAACAGTCCGTTACGCTGATGCAGGAATTTGGGGAGCATTGTTAAGTTAAGAGGGTATTTAAATAAAAACCAAACTAAAATTTTAAAAGTAGTTTTATGATATAAGAAATAATACGAGAAATTATCACAATTTACATAAAAATACTTTTAAGTCTGACTTGAACCACACCCCCTAAATCAGAAAACACAGTACAAACGTACCAAAAAGACCCAAGGTATGGTTAAAAACCGAGGGAGGACGGCTCAGCGCATGCGATAGATGGAGCGCATGAAATTTCTGTTTTCTTCTTGTGACAAGCAAGCCCATGCATTGGTTTCTATCTCATCCCACCAAAAAATCTGAAACAAAAAACATTGAAAAGAACAGAAATGGTTTATTGGTCCTAGACCATCTAGTCTTCATTTCTCGTTAAAAGACAAGCCGACAAGGCATGCTCCTGTCAACGATGCAATTTAACATCTGGCGATCATAAGTTCACAACACATTTTCAATTGGTGATTCCTGATGACCTGATCCACAAACTACCCTTTTCTTTTTCCGGGTCGAACGATCCCTTTCAAATATTTTTAATTACATTATAGCAACAAGAAAGGGAAAATGAACAGGAGCATAGAACACAAATCCTCGTAGGTACAAAATCTGGTATTTGACGTTTGTAATAACCATATGAAAATACCAACCAAATGCTCAATCAGATCAACTCCACATATTTAACACATTTGATGAAGTCTACAAGAGGCCGCATCGAAAAAAATTTCTTGACGCATATTTTCATAGCTCAGTGTCACATAAACGGACCATCAACTCAGATACCATTCTCCGAGCAAAAGGTATATAACTCAGACTGTACCTGCAATTAACACCAGCCAGTAAATTATCCCCACTGAAATTCTACATCAAGAAAATAAGTTCATTTTGAGACGCTGTTCATTTGAGAAAATGGCTTTGGTACCACAAAATTCATGTCAGGCAAAGCAGGTCTATTGAAGGCAAACTTACCATATGAGCGCACATATCTCGCCTATGATAGCAATTATTGTTAGAACCTTGCTGCGGATCTACAAAACAGGGGGGATGGGATTTAATTAGGTACAGTATGCCAAACGAACTCGAAGATATAGAGTACGAAGCAACATATTGTTATTTATGAAGGGAGGTTTCATGTTATTAATAAAAATAAATCGGTAAAGATGTACTGACGGACTGGAAATAGACGAGTTAAAAACATTGAGCAGGCTTTCTTGCCTATCCCATTCATTGTACAGTAGCAAATTATAAAGGAGCATTAAATAAAAAATGCAACATTTTAAATTTATCTAGACATACACATCCATGCATCTGACGTCAAAGATCAAGAAACTTACCAGAAGAGCACAAAGAAGCGCTATAACTACACATCCAAGGTATATGGCTGTTGCAACCAGGCGGACAGGGTCAAACATCATTCCTAGTTGTTGTGCAGGTCCTACCAGGAAAGCTGTGCTGCCAGGTATATTAAAAAAATAATCTACAAATGGTTAAATAGATTACTGAGGACATTTCCAAGTTTTGAGTGTTTTCTTGCCTGCATTAACTCCAGATAAACTATTTTTATACTCTCATATATCAATAAGAGGGGGATTGCACCAACCTTCCAATTGCTAACAGGTTGCCAAAGGTGAACAATACCGCAAATTTGATGGGTTTCGCAAAGACAACTATTGACTGCAAACCAAAATAAAATAATAAAAGTTGAATTATACTGATGATATAAGGTTTTTGCTGAACTGAAAAAATTTATCAGCCAGATATATATATATATATATTTTTATATTATATTTGGGATAGCATTAGCGTGCAACTTGCAAAAATAGTTTCCCTTGAAGCCAGTTTTCACAAACAGCTTCCTTTCAACTGGCACTCAACCAGGAAATGAAAAGAAATCTTTCATTTGACAGTCATGTCATTGTAAGCTTTAACATTTGTTGCGAATTTATTACAGCAGATATCTAAAATTCATTTGAAGTGTACTTTGACACTACCATCTATTGTAAATTTAAAAATGAATTTATGCCACTTGCAGCAGCTGAGATGAGTAGCATGGGATTTAACACTTCTCAGAAAAGGTCTTAAGTTAAAGACTTGTGAATATGAGGGGGGAAAAAAGAAGAAGCTTGGAGAGCTTCTCCCCATTTGAGGCTTGAGCCAGCTTGAATTCGGATTAGTCAGTTATGCTGATTACCAGATGGTTGGTAGCCAATAAAATGTACCTATGTCTAGAGAAAGGGGAAAGGGCATTGTTGATTAACGCTAACTGTGGTAGAAAAAGTCAATTATTAATAGAAAAACCAGCAAGGGACAAATCTCAATAATGCTTACAAGAAGCAGGAAGTCTATTATGATTCATGCGTGGCACAACCATGATTCTGTTACGGTCAAGAGTATGGTCCATCAGTGCATTATCCGACCAAGATCTAGAAGACCGAAACAGTTTGAGCTAATTAACGTACACAACGGAGAAAACATCACCAAATTTCTCTTACCACCAACATGCAAACCAGACCAGCAATCAAACAAGCAGCGAATCCATAAACTCTCTGTCCAGTCAAAGTCCAAAAAGCAGCATAAGTTAGAGTTGGTAGACTACAATAACACCCAAAACCTTTAGATTAGTGCAAAAAGGTTTTGATGACATGGAGCACCTGCATTGGAGAGAGGGAGCAGAAGCCATCTGACTCCTCACCCAGAAAGCTCTCCTCCTGCCCTTCATTATCTCCAGATCTAGTTTGAAAAAACTTCCACATTATCAATTAGGGGTCTTTCTTGCATGTGCTGGGCCCTAAAGAAATTTAGATTATATATTTATATAGAGAAATTTCATCAACATGAAAAAACCGAGGAAAGGAAGGCATAGCACTAAAATTTTTTGAAAAGAAAATACAATCGGATAAGGATCATTTTCAAGGAAATCCCAGTAGATAATGTTGAATGAAAAAACTATGGGCATTCACAAAAACAAATGCTCAGATCGCATCACAAATAAAATGTCAGAAATATTTCCATCAAGGAATCTAATAAGCCAACAACAATTGAGGCACCACCAAGGAATTCCTAATAGGGAAACGCAAGAAACACTGTTTCTCAAGTCCCAACAGTCGCAGGAGTAAGCAAGAGATCATTTACATTCTTGCAACTGCATTTTGAGAACTAAATGATTTTCACCCTCCACTCCTATCACACCTCATGGATTTCCAATGAAAATGAGGCTCCTAAACATGTCTCTTGCTACTTCATGGTCCTATCTCAGAATATCCTCGGAACAAATGATAAATGCACTTAAATTGAAGTTCCAGAGGAAATGAAGAAAGAAGCCCATGAACGTTCTGGGAGCTTACCTTCAAATGTTAGTACTCCCTGCTACAACTGCCCTCGTGAAAAGATATTTCCTTCCTTTCCCGTATTTCTAGAAGAGCCAAAGTGGGAGAACGAACAATCCCGATGAAATCTGCAAAAATTATCAATAAAAACAATGCATAAACTAAACCACACATCTTAGGTTGTCAAAAGACACCAAATTGAGAAGAATTATACGAAAATGACCTCGAAAAGTTACCTTGATCCAATCAGATTGTTGAGGATTTGATGAATTCCATTACGAAACATAACCTAGGTTTTTTGAACGAGTGAAGATCCTCAAGGGTTGTCACCCCCTCTCAAATATCACGTATTTTCCTGAAATCTACGTCGGAGGACCCGTAGAACTAATCGAACCTTTTTTCGGGGCCCAAAAACAAAATCACACTTGAATGTAAAGCAAGAGGGAACGCTGCATTTTTTTTTCCGGTACAACAGAGGGCTTAGCCCAAAAAAAAAAAACTAGATTGGGATCAAATGCCAAGCAATCCGTATCCACAAGACTTCTCAAGCTACTCGGACGCGCATCAAAATAGGCGGAAACTGATATCCCTTGTTTAGCTAATCTATCAGCAACTTCATTTGCATTCCTCGCAATATGAAAGAGCTTTACCTCCCAGGGAACGCTGCATTGCACACGGGAGAAGTTGCGGAATTCGAAAGGCAAAATGCGCCGTACCGGCCTTGTTGATTGACCTTTTTCTCTCTCTATGAAATTGATTGACATATTTTATATTTATCTTCTTCTTCTTCTTCTCTGTTTTTTTTTTTTTTTAACTTACGTGAAACTATAATCCCTGTAGCTGGACCTTACCAGAATGGACGGACTCAAAACTCACCGGACGGCCGAAGAAATCATTAAATTTCTTCTAAATATCAGTGGAGCCAGTCTTTGGAATAAAAATGGGTTCCTAGTTGCATTTGCGCTGACAAAAACTCTGCTTTAGATCATTCTTGAGAGTCTTGCGCCGTTGCGCGCGCACATACATTTGCGCGCACACGCACACGCACAATTCAACCTCTAAATTTTATAGTCAAATTTTTAATTCAGAGATAAACCACGGCCCTTAATGAAGGCCCGCGATGCAAAAATTTGGCAGAACTAATTTCTATCAATCTAGCACTAGTTGGGTCAGGCTTCCAAGATCCGGTTTCAATAACCTAGCACTAGTTAGATCTAATATTTAATATTTTTAAATAATTATTTTTAAACATAAAAAATTATTTTTTAAAAAAAATGATAGTTAAGATATTATCTTTATTTTTTATTTATACTTATTAAAATAATTATTTTAAAAAAATTAAATTAAATTTAGACTGTCCAAATTTGATTTGGACAGTCCAAATTTGATAAACGCTCGGTGTTCATCAAGACTAATAAACACCCAAACTCATTTCTTTGGTCAGTCAACCATAACACTTCCTCGTTTTCATTCAATTAACGAGGACTCATGTCCAATTTAGTAATTAATGGTTAGGGTCACCATATGATAATCCAAATTTCAAATTGCAGAAAATATGTTAAAAACATGATCTTTTTTGAAAAAAACAAATTAATTTACAAGTTTTTATAATTTTATCTGATTTTCAATCAAGTTCTTGTAGTTTTTTTTTATTAGGTATTTGTTCCCTTATTTTTAATTAGGTCCCTCTAATTTTTTTCCTTTTCATCAAATCTTTATAATTTCACCTATATTTTTATGAGACCCTTGAATTTTCAGGTAACTTAAAAAACTCTAAAAAACTGAATGAAAATCAGATAAAATCATGAAGATCCGATTAAAAATTAAAAGCTACAACAACCTAACTCAACCAGATAAAATTATAAAGAACTTTAAATTACCCCTATTTTCTAACGGTAGAATACAGTAATACTTGCTCGTATATGTACTAGACAATCAAAACTATTTCACATACAAAGAAAACGTTACAATTTGGGAAGTACGATTACGGTTGCTCGCACATGCAGTTGGTAGGAGAAATTTTGACTGCCCGTAATATCGCGACCCAAACATCGGCAGTACTATACAAACATGGACCAAGGAAACCTCAATGTAAATACACCGATGAGGGACGGGGGAATACCTTTCTCCGTCTTTTTGCTAAGATGAAGGGATGCATGCCTCCTTATCAAGGTAAAGTTACTGAGGAAGAGGCACAGGTAATAAATGCAAAAGTACGATTGCGTAAAATGAATCTCAAAGGAATTTTTTCAGAGTTTTGGGAAAACTGAAAAGGCTAACATAGTACCCAATCAGAAAGGATGATAAAGCAGAGAAGCATTTCAAAAAGCGAATGAAAAAAGCAACAAGCAAAGGTTGGTACAATTTCAAAAACTTCCCCTTTTCCCCTTCAACTGGAAATCAAATGGACTTACGAGCCCCATCAGCGCGTTACATACAAGGCAGCGCAGTTTCACCCATAAGCTTACAGCAACCGTATGCTCATGCAGATACGTATATGAAAGCGAAAGCGACGAATGCAAATGCATGGAATATTCAATCAACCCCAACTAAGGGAATATGAATGACATTTCTTTTTTATTTCCTCGCTCAAAATGAAAGCAACAGCAAAAGGGAGAGGAAATAAAAACCTGACGGAAAAAGCAATGAAAGATATAGAAATTGTCTCAATGTGTACTTTCAGGAGAATGATGTATCCGGCTTAAAATTAGCGACTCAGACTCATTTGAGCCAGCCATCAAAGCATCACAAGCTTTGGAAGAACCATCCCCAAAAATTAAGGGATCACCCAATGTGTCAACATCATCTTTGTGCAGATCAGGGACCAACAGAGATTTATTTTCCACTTCCATGGACTGATTCTCCTTTGATTCCCCTGAACCCATCATTTCAGAAGTCTCTTTCTCCTCTTTCTCACCCGATGCTGCTAAAGGCTCTCCCTTGTTACCATGATCTGATGGAGCGGACAAGACTAATCCCAAAGAATTGATACAAACATGATCCTGCACGTGATCCTGCCGCTTCTGACTGCAGGCTTGATCTAGTTCTTCCAAATGCTCCTCAGCAGAAGGATGCAAAGTTTCCCCTATTTTCAAGTCTGATGTGGACTTTTGCTTAACACTGGCATCAGAAGTGAAGACAGAAACCTGCCCGTTCTCCGAACTGTGAATAGGAGCTGATTCATCATCTTGCACTTGATTGAACGCGGGGATAATATCTACCTTCCCCCTAGTTGGCAGTTTCACCCTCTGCTTCTTGTAAAGGTCCATGGCTCTCTGCAAATTAAAGAATATGTACACTCTGAGAATCAGAACTAAAATCTATGGATCAGCTATTAGCTCACTCAATCAATCAAAATTATAAAGAACATGTCCACTATCAAGTTTGAATGTCAAATAATAGGTCCCTTTTTTAGCAAATTTTTAATTTTCTCATCTACCAAAGGCGGAAATGGACAGTGACAAAACCAATTGTGAAACTTTTTACAGCACTCAGACAACATAAAAATGATCATATCATTAAAAGTCCGAGGAACAAGGGTGTATTGTTAACGCACTCCCTCTTGTTCTAATTATAGGGCAAAGTTAACTAACTTCCAAGGTTCTCAAGGAGTAGTGATTCATATCCTAAAACTTGTAAAAAACGTGTGACTTTTCAATTTTGCCCTTTACTAAAATTATTGACCACAATAATGTGTTCTCCAAGAATTAAAAGCATGACAAAAACTTGCTCCAATTAAGGAGGGGCAAGATTGGAAAATAAATCATGTCTTTGCCCTATATTTAGGACCAAATAGGGCTTTAAAATTTTTCCTGATAATTAGGAATGCAGAGAGTACAGAATAACACTGCAACCAGAATGCTAGCCCATCGAGCAGATTTACCTGGAAGATGGACGGGTCAATTGCTGGAAGTGGTGAATGCCTTGACATAGTGGTAGCATATTTCTGTCGCACACCCGAATCATTCTGTGAAACCAATAAAAGGGAAAAAAATGAAACATCTCAGACATTTGTTTACTTTCTCACGACCAAGTCTGTCTCAATTGCTTTCAATTGACAAATCTTTATAAACACCTTCCCCCCCCCCCCCAAAAAAAAAAAAACAAGAAGAAGAAGAAAAAAGAACAATCTAATTCTATTCGAGTCATTCTAAAATTTGGGAGGAAAAAAGGAAGCCAAAAGTTCTATCATTTCTACCTTCAGAAGTAGATCTGTGCAAGATTCTGCATCAATGCTTGAACTCTTATCAATCCTCAGCAGATCCATGCACTGGTTGTGCAGCTCTGGAAGGGTAAGTTCTTCTGAAATGTCAAGTTTAGAAAGGTAGAAATGACTGAAAAGTGAAGCAATGTCACTTGTTGCAGTATCAGGCACCTTCTCAATTGTAGAAGTGGCCAAGGACTTTAAAGGTGCTTTAGATGGATTACTGACACTGGGTGACTTTATTTCAGGATCCTTTTCCTGAAAAGTATCCTGGTTCTGTTCATCCTGGGAAATCTGAATATCCTGCTCAGCCAATCCATCATCCACCTCTGCTGGAACCAAACCATCTTTATGAGCCGGGGAAGGCAGGTCCTTCTTCAAATCACCGTTCTGTTCTTTCCAAGTCTCAGAACCAGATTCCCATGACCGACTATTTGTTGGATGCCTGTTCCGGTCCCAATCAGAACCCCCATACATGTGAGGATCATCTCTGAAAACACCATTATTGCCATCCCATCCATGTAAATGAGAAGGGCCTGTACCATCCATCATATTTTGCCACCCAAGCGGGCGCAGGTGACCTGGAAACCTGTCTGCATCAGGAATATGGTAGGGAATACCAGCATGGTTAACATCCATTGGAGGTCTAACACCAAAAATAGGTTGAGATGGAAACTGCGGCATAATCGCCTGAAAACCTCCATGTGTTGGTCCATGTTGAAAAGGAACAAATCCATTTGGTACAGCTGAAGTCCAATTTGGAACACCCCTCCAAGAATTGCCAGGCCCTCTACCAAAACCAGGATCACTAATTCTTCTGTAGCGAGCATTGGAGCTGTCTCTAACATCATCATCTAAAGAACTCATGAAAGGTCGGTCTAGTCCAGCCCTGAAAGCAGGTGGAGGAGGACCCAACGATGCATTTCCCTGACTAGTCCTACCATAATAAGATGAATCTGCTTGAGAGGATTCATCCATTAGTGGCCTCTCTAGTGTCAACTCACGCCCCATTCTATCTTCAGAAGCTGAGAAATCTCGTGCATCAATACTATTTCTCCGTCCACTTTCTTCAATTTCAAGACTCCGCCTAGCTCCACTTTTATTCACATACCTCCGCTCGATGCTTGTGGAAGATGGAGATCTTTCTACCAGGCCCTTGGGTGAAGCCTTGGAACTGGAGGACCTTTCAGTTGCAAAATCTCCTACAGTACCATCATCTATTTTAAAAGATTTCTCTGACTTGTATTTATTAGTACCTCTTTCTGATGTCCCCGAATAACCGTCTCTCAAGCCTTTTGTTCGTTGTTCAGACATTGAGTCTCTATGCTTCGAATCATCAGAATTCGCATTCCTGCAAGATGGAGAAAATGCTAATCAATTAAAATTATTCATGGTATAATTCTCTCGCATAAAACTTCCTAAGACCCTGATGTCCTCAGAAATTAAGGAACAAAATATTGCAAAGACAACATTTCTGTCAATGAATTAACACAATTAATGCTGTCATTAGACATAATTAGATGCATTTAGCTAAGACTTCTGTATCACAACTGTTTAAATTCAATGACACCAGAACACCTTCAAAGCAACAGTGTCATGATGGGCTTAATTTGAGTGGTATAAAAAAAAAATCAATTTTCATAATATTACCCACTCAGCATGCCATCAAGGATGAAATGCTACCAGAAGGTAATTTTGAAGGTTGGTTAACAGCATTCCAATCAAAATACCACAAAAAAGAGATTACCTGTAATCATCATTGCCAGTATGTGTATTTGCTGCTGGAGAAGACCTCCTTTTGCTGCTGGTTCCACTTGAGTCTGCATGAACATGACGAGATTGGGATCTTCCCCTGTCAGCCTCAGAATCAGCTTTACTGCCACTCAAACTTCTCTTCTCTGCATCAGAATAGTGAGTTTTAACACCTCTAGATTTAGTGTCACCATAATCATCACGTTCACCCAGATTTCTTTTCTTTGTTCCACTCTCTTTGGTCCTAACACTTCGCTCATCTAAATGTGACCCATCACGATCACGGTGATGGTTGCGCTCACGATGACGGTCTTTGTCTAGGTCCTCATCATGATCACGCTCATTGTCCCAATCCCAATCTCGATCTCTATCATAGTCACGATCCCTATCAAGATCATAATCACGTTCTCGGTCTCTTTCACGCTCATGGCGCCGCTCGCGATCACGACCAGATTCCAAATCACGCTCTCTTCCCCCATCACGATCACGGTTATGGTCCCGATCACGATCACTCTCTGAAGTTTTAATTCTCTTTTGTCGGGACTCCACATAGTCCTTTTCTTCCTTTCCATGCTTATCATCAGACCTACTGCTAGCATGATCTTTGGCAGGACGCTCATCACGTTGCCTGTCATATCTGTGTTTGTTCTCTTTATCTGTCTCTTCCCTGCCCTTCTCTCGATATTTTTCATCCTTTCGCTTCTCATCCTTCAGTCTTCCATCCTTGGCAATCTCATCCCTAGAAGACAAACGCTTGCTATAGCTATCCCCAACATCATCTTGATGCTTAATACCATCACTGGTATCATCCTTCTTCTTCCTCAATCGCCTCTCTAGTGGGCTATCTAGTTCAGGGCTTCGTAACTCGTCCAGGGCCCTCAAATCTGCAACAAGACATAAATCAAAGTAAGCTACTGTCTTCCAAGGACGAGCCTAATATAGCCATATCTATTGAAACATGATGCTTAGATTAGCTGATCCAAGACAAAAGACCAAAGATATTCTAACTTCCTCTTTTTCCCCTTGAAAAACAACACTCACTTCTGGAGAAGAGACTTCCAAAAGTCCAGAAGCAGCACAAGATATCAAACAATGAATGTATGCAACAACATAAATATCAATGAACGAAGAAAAAAGTGCTTCTAAACTAAAAAACCAAAAACAAGCCAATAATACACCAAAACAGAACAAGGTCACAAATAAAACAGCCATCCAGTCCCACTAAATTTCAAACAGAGGAATTCCCTTACCCAAAAAAGAAAGAAAAGGGCAAAGAATAGAAAACCTATCAATACCACGAAAGACAGTATAGGAATATCCATAGAGTTATACACAAATACACAAGCTATACTTCAACATAAAGAAGCAAGAACTGCTACCCAAAGTACAATGGAGAGATCAATTCAAATAAAAAAACACAAGCCAAAACACAAGTCTCCAATAGTGTCCTGCATATACTACACGATTCAGTTTGTCAGTGAATGGGTATTTGAGAAAACCAGATGTGGACCCCAAGGCAAATATGCGGAGTCAGAAGAATAAGCTGCACTGTTCATGGCCTACGAATCATACAACTTTCTATGGATTTTAAGCACTTTATTGATATTGACTTTGATATATAGATTGCAAAATCTAACATTAAGGTACTTACATTAATACTCAAACATAACGTATGGATATTAAAAAAATTAGGAAGCTGCAGTGTTCATAAATCATGATCATTATAGCTCATCTTGGACTTATACGCATATGCATGAGAACCACTCTAATTACAATATGACAATCAAGAAACAACATTTAGCCAATGATTGGTACAAAACAGTATTTTTTTTAAAGAAAAAAACTTGTTTTCATACCAAATGAACTAATGGACATGACCGTTGGCAATAAAATTGATCTTCAAACACTTCAACTGCCAAACTATCATTAATAGGCGGTCATCATTATTAAATCCAAAGTAGGAAATAAAAACAAGTAATGAGCTTAATATAATACAAAAACTGGCAAAAGAATAGATTAGGAAGTGTGCCAATGTCCCTTTCTCGTTGCCTACCATATAATTGAACATCTTGACATGAAAGAACTATTTGTTTTTCATTTATTGATTCTCAGATCATAATTAATTGATTATCAGCTATTCATACTGCCCTTTTCTTTTCTCTTCTCTCTTCTCTTCAACGTCCGACTATCCAACTGATTAGATGAAGCGCAACATTATTGAACCCTCATCTATCTCATTTTACATTTTAAAAAGGAATTAATAACTTTAACTGCTAGGATTTGGATGAGAAAAGGATCATAAAGTTCCCAGGCATTGTGCAGTCTTGTTGTGATGTCTTTGGTTATAACAGAAGGCATTAAGGCATGAGTGTTCATTCAGCATCTCCTTTATGTCCTCCTTTTTTGGCGGGGAACTACAAAAGGCTATCTAATATCCCTTGGCAATCTCAAAAGGTATTAGAATGTCCTTAAGACCATATTGTTTCTTTTTCATTAGCCTTTCTTAGGAAGGATCCCATGTCCTGTGTTTGTAACTTGTATTGCACTCTCTTACATCAATAAATCTTTTTCCACCTTAAAAAAGAACAAACAAGATCTCCTTTCTCATTAATAACCTCAACAGAATTGTTGGATTTCCAGCTCAATCTTTCATTCCTAAGAAGCCATTTTGAAATACAAATTAATGATTAAATACATGGATACGAGTCTTGCTTGTCACATTATTAAGGCAACAAATTCATATCTACTTCTGATTATGAACTCAAATCTAAAAAATTCAGTCTCAAGAGTCATAACACAATATCTATTACTTGCGTCAATGGACGTAAAGAGAGATAATTCGAGTGCCAACACTAAAAATTTAAAAACTTTGCATTAAAAAATTAAGAGGCTAGCAGGCTACAGAAGGAGACCAGAACTGTGACTTTCTCTTCCAGAAGACGTCCCCCATAAATGGGGAATGTATTAGACTAAAACCAAAAAAAAAAAAAAATGTAAATGCAGATGTGCGTGTGGAAAATGAATCACAACGATAAAGGGCCTATAAGCCACTTATAAAAATGGCGAAAGAAGCTTTGAAAGAAACTAATGGTGAAAAACATGTTCATCAAAACTGGCATGTATGGTGGAATTAGAGGAAGAGCAGTAGAGTTCCATCAGTTAAAGTGTAAGTGTGTGTGTGTGTGCCGATTAAAATTTAACTATAGAAACAGATAGAGGACACTTATGCTTAAAAGAAAACTGGTACATATTAGCATCACTTGTTTCGGCACCATCAGGAGTATTGCTGAATTTAATCAAACCAGAACAGACCATACTGGAAATCAGTGGTTCGTTTTTGTGTGCACGCGTGCTTTTTTTCTTCTTCTTCTTCTTTTTTTTGGGGGGGGGGGGGGACAAGTGAATATTTCATGTACAAGGTAACAATGTTGAAAGAGGCAGGAGAACAACGATCACGCAAAATTTCAGGACAACTCCTAACAAATTTCTCTATAGGCTGGAGGGCCAGGCAAAACTGGTGGGTTTCAAATATGTACCCCAGGGGCTGACCCGTGTTATTGTTTATCAAGAAGCACACAGCGCTAACACTCGAATGGTTTGCAATAGAACAAAAAGCTCACTTTTCCTCCTAGCAATAAATGGAGAAATTTTCCCTAGTTAAAGACATCTTCTACTACAGTACAAAAAGCTCACAGAATACGCATGCCACAAAACAATCAGTTACCTTACCAGTATTTTCATATGCATGCTTGGACGTGCGCTGTTCTTCGTTATCAACTGATCTCTCGCTTCTAACTTCTTTAAACTTCCTTTCTTTTTCCATTCCACTTTCTCTACTCTCCTTTCGCCCCTGTTCCTTATGCTTCCCCTCGCCCTTGCTGCTGCTCTTCTTAACCTCTTCGCCCTCACCATACACTCCTACACTCTCATCCCTTCTCCTACTTTTCGAATCCCCCGATGTCTTTGACTTCTTGGAGCCTTCACCTCGTTCATCCTCACCGCCATTCCACCTATCTCCAACTCCGTCATTGCTACGCTCCTTGCGCCGCTTCGATGAAGCATACTCGTCAGAATTCTCCCCATTTCCAAACCCATGCACGTCCTTCGAATCCGGCTTCCGCTTCTCAAAAGAACTTGAATCCTTGGAAACCTTCACAGTGCTCTCATCCTTACCTTTCCGATCCTTCAAGCAAGAATCTTTGTCCGAATCCGAGTAGTCCCTCGTATCCCTCGAACTATGTTTGCTAGATTTATGCTTTGAACTCCGCGGCATCACGAAAGCAAACTCAAAACCCTATTCCGCGAATTCACAGGGCACGGAACCCTGGAATGATAACAGCAAACGCTAACACTAATACTTAGCAAAACCCGAGCAACAAAGCCCAAAAATCTGAAACCCTAATTTCCTAAGCAATCAAGTGATTGAATCCAAAAGCGGAGGCAACCCTAAAAGTGAGCATTCCAAATTGAGAGATCCTCAAAAAAAAAAAAAAAAACAGTGGCGTGAGACTCTGCAAAGAAGATGGGTAAGCTTTGGTGGAGGCTGAGACCGGGCAAGAGGTAGCCGGAAAGTGGATCGGTCGGGGGATAAGTTGTCCGCAGTATGAGATAGGGATCGAATAAGACCAAAATTACGGGAGAGTCCAATTGAAATTTTTTGCAACAATAAGGTGCATTGGGGATAAAATTGGAAGAGCAGGTGACGTTGAAGAGCGCTAGAGAATCAAAGAGGGAGAGCGAGGCATTGTTGCCTTGGGTTTGGTTAGTGAGACTCGGGGACGACTTAGCGATATTTGGATGTCGAGAGACAAGATTGTCCTCCAGAAGTCATTTTTATGGCGGCAATGTCCATCATAGTGTGCGGCTGCGTTTCGATGATCCTACGGTAAATTAGGTCAAATTAATAAAACCAATCAGAATTCGACGCGTCATAGAAGGATTTCAAAGATACCACCAAGTTCCCGTCTTCCCGATCCATTATTCCCCTCACCCCCCCCCGGTCTGCGCTTTCTACAAATTTCCTCTGCTCTTTTTTTTGGGGGGGCGAAATATGTTGTTTTGCCAATGCGAGACGCTTTTTATGTGCTTCAATTTGTACAAATGAAAATGAGGAAATTAATTTACAAATTCTTATATTTTTAACTAAATTTTTAATTAAAATTTTATAATAATTCACATAATTTTTAATCAAGTCCTTATAATCTTAGGGTGTGTTTGGATTACTGGTGGAGAAGTAACTTTTTTTGTAATCTGACTTTTACAGAAGTTAGATTGGGTAAAAATCAGATGGTAAATTGTGATTTATGTTTGGATTGGCTTTTGTAAAAAAATCAGTTTGAGAAATTGAAAGTTGTTTGGATGATTAATAAAAAAGTCAGTTTAGATGCAAAATGATTAAAAAGACATAAATTTTATTAAGTAATATATATTTAATACTAAATGTATATAATGTGACAATTATAAAGAAAGTATTAAAAATAAAATTATTAGAAATAAAGAAATTAATTTATTATTATGAAGAAATTGAAAAAAATACTGAAATACTTAATTGAATATATTTAATGGATATATGTGTGTGTATAAATCATTTGCTGCTGGCTCTATTCTTTCTCGTTTTTTCAGAGAGATATGTATGTGAAAGAGAGTTAGGAAGGCAAAGAATTTAAAGTGCAATAATAAATGCTCTCTAATAGTTTTTTCTGCCGCACTGATGGTCTTCATCGTCAAAAGTAAGATGATGCAGTTTATGGAAAAAGCTCATTTGAGGTAGAAAAGTCAGATTGCCAAATCTCCAAGCCAAACACCACCATTTCATAGAAGTTAGCTTTTACCGGTTGAGAAGTCAGTTTGGGCTCTCAAACGTGATGCCAAACACACCTTTAGGTGACAAACAAAAAGGAAAAAAAAATCATGCAAACTTAATTAAAAAACAATTAAAATAATACAGATACGATGAAAAGGAAAAAAAATCATAGATATTTAATTAAAAACAAGATAAAATTATAAAAACTTGATAAAAAAAACATGACCTGAATAAAAAATCAGATAAAAAGGAAATGTGGGTTACTATTTTCAATCAAAATACTTGGTTTTATGTTTTTTTAATCCATTTTGAGACTAAATATCCTCTTCTAATCTCTCCATACATGAACAGAGACAAGATGATTTGGGCATTGATTACTCCCCTCTATGCCCAAAAAAAAAAAAGGATCACTCGCCTTGGCGTGTGGTGTGTCGGGTGATCACAGCGCTCGTCTGCAAACTAGTCGTTACTTTGACAGTCTTTGATTATTTGGTGAGGTCGGCCAGCTTTATTAATTATGCAATGCATCTGAGTAAATGGCACACGGGTGAAAAAAACACTGAAAAATTTAATTATAAGAACTAGTTAATTAATTTAGAAAAATTAATGAAAGAAGTTAAGTTAGTTATTCGTCATAAATAAGTGTTGTATTTTCTAAAATATCCGTACTAATTAAATGTATTAGTTAGAACTGCCATTGTTAGAAGGACTATCTTAAAAAAAACATAAATATTAGAAACAAAATGGATTGAAGTCTTATATATAGGAATAAAATAAAAGTCAAACAAAGTCCTATATTAAAGATCGGAGGTAGTATTATCATAATATTAGTTTGGATGCTTAATATAATACTCCTCCAGTCTTTATTATAAGACCCAATTTGACTTTTTATTTGGTCCTAATTATAAGACCCAATCCATTTTCTCTCTTATATTTATGCATTTTTTTCCAAGATAATCCTTCTAATAATGATAGTTTTAGCCAATATACTTAATTAGCAAGGATATTTTAGGAATAACAACACTTATTTATTATAAATAACCAACTTAACTTACTTCCTTAATCTCCTCAAATAAGTCAATTGGGTCTTATAATTAGGACCGGAGGAGTAGTTAGTTAACTAATTGGAGTGAATTAAGAAAATTAGTCACATTAATTATTTGTAATAAATATATATTATCTTTTATAAAATATTCTTACTAATTAAATTTATTAGTTAGAACTATTATTATTACAATGATTATTTTAAAAAATAATAAATATGAGAGATAAAAAAGATTAGAATTTTACATTAGAAAAGGCAATAGTGCAATGTGCGCATCTCCATGATACGTTTGTTTTTAAAAAGTAAAAAGATATAATAACCCAATGGGCTAAGCATTGAGTTGGGCCGATGTTGAGCCCAACATGTGGATAGTCGGAAAAATAAGGAGACTCTTTTTTTTTGGGGGGGGGGGGCTTCTATCAACTACATGTCGATTCCCCCCTGGGGGGGGGGATGCTGTGAACTACAATATTTTTTTGCCAACTAAGCCTAAAATGTTATGTACTTCTACGTATAATATTAAAAATTATAACAAGTATATTTGAGACTCATGCAGGACTCACAATAATTTTCCGAGGGAAGCAATAAGCATATCCATCACATAGGAGGTTGAAAAGAATGGTGAGGCACAGTGGCTTTCAAGGGACTGTCGACTGTCGAGAGGGAAAAGAAACCTGTTTTTTTTGGGAACATGTTCACCTGATATCCTGACTAAATCCTCAGGAGATTACAAATCAGACTAAAGCAGATTGAGCCATGATAGGACCCATATAACTTTTGAGTAAGCTAAAACAACTCCTATCAGTTGACTTAAGTACTCTGTCGGTGTTTAAACTTGTGTTTGTTTTCGGTGTGGAGGAACCAAAGATTACCGTGGCCAGTGCAGAACAAATGATTTTGATGAGAACAGTGTTAAAGACAGGAATGCCCTGGATGATTGCTTGGGAAGTTCCCAACTGCCATGAAAGATGGAACCCTTGTGGAGAACGATTGTAATGGGGCTTCTGCCCCCTCTCGGTTAATTTCTAGTTCATTCTTTTAAAAATGAATGAAAACGATGCAGAACTCGTTTTCCCACCGTCAGTTTGAAGTCTAGAATTGAAAAATATGGGAATTGAAAACATGATGCCATCCTGGCGGGGACTAATACAGGCTCAGAAAACAAGTACAACTCACTTCTCATGAATGCCCTGGATTTTTGTGATGTGATGGGAAAGCTGCCCAAAGTTGGATCACTAATCAAGCATTGAAGTGAGAGGATAAATGTGATTGCATGCTTTGGACTCTGCCTCAAACGCTGCTAATCACTAATCAGCGCCATCTGGGTTACGAAACCTGTCTTATGAGTTTCAGTGCAACTTTAATTTAATGCAACCTGTTTTATATAGTCAACCCTGCACCGTTCCGCATCATTATAAATCCTCAAGGATTAAACGGCGCTCATACATGCACATTGCCCTTCAAAGATTCGATAAAAATCCAACACCAATCAAATGGTGTATAATCCACAATAGCTTAACTCTCAATTATGAGGTAACGGGGGACAAGCACCCAGCAGATAAGACACAGAAAATTTATTTCATAAATAACACTTGAAATGAGAATTAACACTGCTATCCCACATACATATGAACACCATACAATCTTTTTTTTCTCCCTTTTATTCAACAAACCTATGTACATGCCTAGAAGGTCATTTCTGTCTACAGAAAAGGTTATAACAATATGCGAGAGTTCAGCTACACTACCCCATTGGAGTTCAAGGTAGGTCCGGCTTATTTAATTTTTTAGCATTAATTGCTCAAAGCTTTTGAATCCCACCACGTCCACTGTTTCCAGGCAAATCGTACTCTCGAGTTCTTCCATATATAGCTTGATCAGATATGATTATTTATTTCCTCTTTCTTTCAATTGAATCAGTCTCGAGCTAACATTGCCTCCCGGCGTCAAATTATTCAGTCTTGGCAAATCTTCCACGGATTCTTGGTTGGCTGTCAGCAAGAGCCTTCCTGCAAGCATACTGAAATCAAACCCCAATTGTTACTTCACTTCAGTATCTACCTATATCCGAAATTAAGCATTTTGATTGCTCAAAGTGAAATACTCAATAGTAAAAGGATGGTAAATCTATGTGCATGCACTTAATTATCATCTCACCTTGATTTTCCGACCAAAATTTCTCCTTGTCTTCTTACTCCTGTATCTAGAGAGCTTTTCTCGGCGTTCCTCACTGGTACAGTTACTGATGGGAAGGGCCCTCTCTGACGGAGATTGGATAACGTGCGTATTACCACTACCAAGAGTCTGTCAAACATAGCGCATCAATAATCCAGTCCCACTTCAAGGAAATGGCAGAAAATCTATAGATTTCTTAGTCCACACTAAGACTTAATGATCAAGTAACTTAATGGCACACGCTACTCTGCTACATAAAAAGATTTTCGTGGTCATGAAAAGATTTTGGCGGGTTTTTATCCACCTAATTGAAAACAGGAACCATCCATTCTCTTTAAAGAATTTTCTGTATTCGGGAAGCATCCTCTAATTTCTGATCATTTAGACTGGTCTCGATGTTGCAAGGCATCAGATACCAATAGATATTGAACCAAGGAAAGAATTACTGAAGTATACGGTGTGTCACTAGAAAAAACAGACTTAAACCAGAACAATTTTTCGGCAGACCAGGTGAAGATTTCCTTCCTTATTGTTCAGTAGGTCCCAAAGTCTTTCTCCATTGAGCAAGAGGAATAAATGGCTATTATTCCTTCATAATATAGTTATTATTTTTATTATATAGTTAATTATCACCTACCAAACCTGGAAACTTATTTTATCACTCAAACCATGTTAAGGAAAGAAGCAAGGCTCTAAATACATCACACTTTTAATCTCAAGCTAGAGCAGCTGTCAAAGCTACCGGGTAGTTGTCTTTCTTACATGTTCTGGATAGAAAATTTCCACTTAACTATTCTTCTTTTCCCTTCCTCGGGAAGGAACAATTTCTCACCACTTCTAATACGCTGTTTAATTTCATACGAATGCCATTCAATACAATTAAAAGCTTTAAGATGCAAAATATATGAATCAGTCAAGTCTGACCTTTATATCTCCTTCACTAAATGCCCTTCGCATGCCATAATCTGCACAGAAATTCATTCCTGGGAAATCAAGAAAAGCAGGCTTGATTGCAGTCCCTTGCATCCAGTCCATTGAGCTCAAACATCCTGAACTCACACTTTTTGGTAATGGCAAGCCAGGACTTTCTTGAATTTGGTTTTCATCTGTATTCAGAGCAGGAACCTTGATTTCCAGAATCTCAGATAGGGGTGACTCAATTGATTCCTTTTCTAGCATATCTTTTTTGCATTCATAGAAAACCTCGCTCAGGAGTTGCTCATGTTGAAGAGAATCGGAGGCTTTTAGTCCCTGTGAGGGAACAGCATCTTCCCCACAAGATATCATTGAAATGGCTGCGGTCATGGGATCCAAGTCTACGACTGGTTCTTCAATAATAGGTTCAGGAGCTTTGAACAGGTCTCCTTCTGCTGCCAAATCAAAATACTCCGACATGGCAGAAGACTGAGCAAGGTCACTCTGCATTAGACAAAATAAAGGTGATTTCTATGAACAAGGGTCTATAAAATCTAAACAAACGAAATTAATTTTAATTATAAGAACACATCAAATATACTGAAGGTACAACAACAAACGGGGGTTGAAAAAGAAGAAAAAGTTAAATGACAAAAGCTGAAGAAGTCAGTGACTTTCAAGCTTTTTATTCAGTACAAATCAATGGAATATAATATGTGTATAGTAAGGGGAAAAAATGGTACTGCTTAGTATAAGCTTTGTGCAAAGAAAAGGTGAAAAGGGCCCATATATATTCACATGAACCTTCGCACGGAAAGGACGGGCTAATCCGCAAAATGGACAGGTAGATAATTGCAAATTTAGAGGTCATGCTTCACCAGAAAAAAGGAGCGTGGAAAGGCATCCTATTCAAAATGGCTTTAACTTCAACTCAGGGGAAGAACATGGATTCAATTTTCTTTATGAATATTAGAGAAGGTATAATTTTGTTTACGTGAATGGTCACAGTCATTTGAGACAAAAATGAACGTCTTCATCAAAATTTCTTAACTAGCCAGTGTCTTCCCTGACTACAAAAGCACGATAGCCCTCACCTTAAAAGGCATAGTTTCACTGTCAATGACCAAAACACAAAGCCATTTCACGTAGAAACGACCAACTTTAACTATGAGCAGAAATGTAAGTGATAATGCATGATTTCCTCATTTCTACTACCATATGAGGTGCCCGACAAAACCCAGAAGAAATGATTAAGTCGAGCATTAACCACCCCCTTTCCTCTAACCTTTTTTTTCCCTAGTTTAAAGAAAAAGTGAATAAAGAGACTTTTTCCTCTTTAACCTCCCTCAGTGCGGCACAAAGGAAAGACGAACCCACTGAGAGTTCACGTCAGAAATTAAAAAAGAAATGCAAGAAGAAAGACCATATAGCACGGCACTATCACAACGAAAATTCTTTTCCGCTTACACTCTATACATCTTTCCTTTTCTCATGCTTTTCCAGATCCAGCACATAAAGCCAACTGCAGCTGTTTCCACCCGCGCTATGAGAAAACATTCAGAAGGAGGGGTGAAAAAAAAAGAATGAATAGCCAGAGATTACATACGAAATCAATTCCAGAATTGAATTCTTTTGTTATTCACTTCATCGGCACCATCAATCGGCAAGAAACTAAGGATTACGAATGACATAAACAAAGAGCTAGGAAGTTTAGCACAGACATGAGGGTGTCACCGAAAACGCAGCTTAACACTAAAATAGAACAGAGGAAGGAAAAGGAAGGTACCATTGACGCATTGGGCTTATGGGTTTTACAGTACTCATCGAGTTGTTGAAGCTCCTGAGACAAATTCTGGAAATATGGGAACAAAAGACCAGTGTCCGCATACATTTCTCCAAGGGAGAGAGAGTCTCAGAAAACAGAAAACTTCAATGAGATTGAGGAGGCCGCGAAGGAGTGATGAGCTCACCAGAAGAGCAGAAGAAGAGAAAACAGAAGCAAGCTAGCAGCCTAACACTGAAAATATAGGGAAGCAAAATGCTAAAAAGAGGGGGGGCGGGGGGGAGAGAGGGAAAGTGATGGAGCGAGCGTTTGTCCGTTTGCTGGTTTGGGTGGTTATGAGCTTAAAGATGAATTAGGAGGGAGGAGGGAGGAGGGAATTTATAATAGAAAAAGAATACAAATAAGTAGAGGGTTGCTGATGAAATCAAAGCAGAGCAACAGGCTTGGCTTGAGGGACGGACTTGCCGAAAAGGAAAAGAACTAGTACTTGGGAGAGGATGACGTGGGAATGTTAATGAATAAGGACAAAATGAGAAAAGAACAAGGTGATATTATAGAGCGGTGTCCCCCCCAACTCTCTTGTCACAGTCTTTCAGAGGGGAACTTTTTCAATGGACAATGAAGTGCTTGTTTTGGTATTATTATATTTGCAATTTGCAAATCGAGGCCAAGATGAATTGCACCCAGCCAATGTGTGAGGACATGTTGGTGGCCTCCACAGTGATCATCACCCGTTGGTGTGCACTACCTCAGCCCTTGTCAATTCCCACGCGCGCACCCTGGCGCTTCCTTTGCCCCATTTATTCCCAGTCTTCTTGCCATAACTACTAAATACTATCTAGCGCATGACAACCCCTTTTTTTTTATATGTTGTTAATGGCAGGGAAAGATTCCCTTGATGTCTCTTCTAATTTTTTTTATTTCCCTTTTCTTGGCTTTTGGCTGTTGAACATATTCTCAAATTTGATATTTTGTAGGTATTTGTACCTTGGAAAATTAAAAATATATGACCTTACGGAGAAGTACTCCTGTTTTCTGGATATCATATCATATCCAGGTCATGCCATGATTTGTTTTGCCTTCGTATATGTATCATTTTTTTTCAGGCGTGATTGTTGTTTCACGCCGTGTTTAGGACATTGCCGAGTCAAACTTTTTTGTGTCCATTCCCAGTGCGTTGCCGCGTTTGTTTTCTTTTTTCTGTTGTTAGTCTCTGTGTCACTTTATTTTCGGTTTTTTAGTTCTTAATTACATGTCAAAATGTCTACTTCTTAAGATTAAGAAAATCTAATAGGACTCAATTTTAACTGAATCTAACTAATTTAGTTCATCTCGTGTTAAATATCTGTCTTGTTGGTGAGTGAGACTAGAAAATTATACTACCTTCGATCCTAATTAATTACAAGAGCTAGTTAGCTAATTTAAGGAGATTAATGAAAGAAGTTAAGTTAGTTATTTGTAACGAATAAGTGTTGTCTTTCCTAAAATATTCTTATTAATGAAGTGTATTAGCTAGAACTATCATTGCTGTAATGATTATTTTAAGAAGAAATATATAAATATGAGAAATAAAATAAATTGAGATCTTATATTTAGAACCAAAATAAAAATCAAATCAGATCTTATATTAAGGACTGGAAACAGTATTATTTATCACTGAGTTCTTCGAAGGGGAAAAAAATGTCGTCCGTTATAACCTCCAGAGGAAACGTACATTGCGGTCGCTTTGTGCTGTGAATAGTGAGTAATCTAGGGGGAAATATTTGATATTAAAATATTATTTCTTGCCAGATCACACGTGGAATTAGAAAAAGAAAACGTCAAAAGATACATGGAACAATCAGGAACATGTATAAATTGCTCGCGAATTCAGAGCCGAGGTCTCTTTGTTATATAGCGAGAGCCATTCCATTCCCAGCTGTATTTGTAAGTATCACAACCATTTTGTTTTGGTCACGCACAGATATCTTTTTATTAAAAATAATTCTATTTGAGACTATGTTACGTACTAAGTGTTTTTTTTTTTTGGGTCCAGTGAGCTGATTTATTATCATGATATGGGATTCGTTCGCTGCACCACGTGCTCCCTAAGGATTTCAACGGCCCGTCATCACTTGTGTAGTTTAATTAATTAATATTGCCGACCCAACTACGTAACATGAAATTGAAATAATGTGTGTATCAAGCGATGGACCCTCCACTACTTGTTATTCTTTTTGAGTTTTCATTCTCAAATTTGTCCCCTTCCTCCTGCAATCGTCATCTCTCTATCTTCAATTTTTCCTCCCCTGCATAATTTGTTGTTATTCCACTTGGCATTCAAATGCGTTTTCATTCACGAGGCATTGACACATCAATACGGCAGTTGGCCCAACAAGATAGCACAACCAACACTATTCGGGAGGAATAATAGTCGTAATTTTACCCTTCTCAATCATTGATTTCAGTTATCGGTAATTTTAAATCATATATAGCAGGCTGTGCGTGTGTTGTGAGAAGGAAGTTAATTACTTCCCGAAAAGTATGTCTGATCTGTAAGCTTAATTAATCATCCTTTTGAAATTAATAGCCGGGTTTTTTAAGATTCAAGCCGTGTGCAATGATCATAATGACCAAAATTAAAGCTTGCCGACTCATATTGAATTATTCATACAGGAGGGGCAGTTGCAAAAGACGTAGTCCTTTTCATATGCGTGATAAGATAAGATGTGCAATTGTGCTCTCAAAAGCAGCTACGTTCGTTGCTTTGCAGCTGGTTTTTTATTATAAAGATGTTGTCAGATGTATACCTATATGTTTTTTTTTTTTGGGTTAAAGATTAGAAAGGAACTAATATTTGGATTCACCATAACTTTATTAATTAAAATAGAACAAAAATACGTCGCTGTTATATAAGTCTTAGTGTAACAATTGCGACGTAGGCCGCGGATGTTTTATTAAAATTGGATTCATTGATGTGCGTAATCATCGAAATTAATTAATTTGTAACTGGTTTTGTTAACATTGATTTTTATTGTAACCGAAATTCCCGTCGTTGTATTAGCTAAAAAGAAACAATAAACAAAAGAAAGGAAAACGATAGAGTAGTGGATTCAATATGATTAGCTGTAGAATGAATTCAACAAGATAGATTCTGTGTTCCATTTTGGCCTCAAATTATTCAAATTCTCTTTCGATGTGGTGACCCCTGTAGCTCAACATTCACAGATTAGGTTTTTCCACACACTATAGTTTTGAAAAGTATCAACCCGTAATTCTTGTCACTTTCTAGAACTGAAAGCAAAAGCATTAAAAACAAATCCTGGCTGTTGCGTAAATCAAAATACTCACGCGTAACAACCCCTTTTCTTTATATATTTTTTTTCTTAGCCTGGATTTGCGTTTGGGTAGAAATGTTCGATTCTGTAATTCGTCTATCAATAATAAAAGGAGACTGGTGGTGAGAAAAAAATATATATGCATATAGAGAATTAAAGATTGTCAACCCACCCGCTCTTGTCCTTATTTTTCGTTGACAGGGCAAAGTAAATCATATGTAATATTATTATAAAATGACGAGTTGTTAACTGGCATAACACCTTTGGCTAAGAAAAAGAAAGGCATAATTCATCAGTTTACAATTGATTTCCTATCGTCAACCATACAACGTAACTAAAATTAACATTAAAAAAAAAAAGGGAAGGAACTAGGAAGCCAGTCATATCATTTCAAAAGCATAATTTAATGATAAAACATCAAAGTCAAAATGACTTTTAAAATTGACATGAAGAGAGCCTGAGAAGAATATGGAGATGGGCTGTAAAGGAAACCCTGAGAGGAATTTCAACCACGCTTATTTAAGAAAAGGGCAAAGGAGGGTGAATATGCTCTCTCTTTACTTGTTCTCTCCCTATTCATTCTCTTTCCAAAATGCTGGTGAGTTGTGAGGATTTTTCACCTCACAACCCACTGGAAACAAACAAGACATGCAGTACCATAACCTTAAATTCCCACATGAGGAAAAAGGGAAATTTTGTAGAAAAGGCGACTGAGGGAACTCTCTAGGAACCTACTCAAAAGCCCATAAAGTACAGGTACTTGTGGAGAACAAATTAAAAGCTGATGAAGCTGTCTATTTCATGGCAAACACTTTGATGATTCATCCAGCGGCATGGCTCCATGTGGCAGCTTCCACATCGCACCAGTTGGAAGCTCCATATGTGTTTTGTGAGCAGGCAAATAATGAACACGCCCACATCTTGTCTCTATCTGGTTCTCCACTTTTTGCCCCCCGGAAAATGGTCGTCCACTCGCTTCACTCTAGAATGTGCTTTTATTTGGCTTTTTTTTTTTTTGGCAACCAGTGTTGTTGCGGAATCTGCTTCAGAGCCCACTGGTATCAGATAGGATTGATTGGTGAACGAACTTAAGCGATGAACGTGAGTGTGAATCGTGGTCGGGGCAGAATGGAAGGCCAGCTCAGTTGAGTGCAAAATTTGATCGTCTTGTTTAACTGGACGTTGTTTGTTGAAATGAGGAGAGAGAGGCTCGCTTAGAAGCGTCGATTCATTAATAAAGAAGATGAGGTGAATTTGGTCTTTCCCTTTTCGTCTGATGTGACTTCATTAATTCTGGGCATCCAACTGATTAGAACTAATGGGGCTGAAGGAAAGCTTGTCTTTTATGTTGTGCAGTTAATGCTAACAAAGAGAAAACAAAATGAAAGGAACAAATGGTCCTGAGGGCCAAGAATGAATAGTCTGTCGAATTCAGAAATGGGTTATTGGAGGGCGGAGGATTTTCCAGTTGTCCAAGAAGATAGAAAGGGCTGGATGGGGATGGGTTGGAGTGAAGTGAAATTAGAAAAATGGTGGAGTTGACAGGATTGGATCTAGTGAACGGAATTAACTTTTTACAATATAATGAATTAAGATTTAAATTTTTGTTAAAAAATTGTTATACCTAATAGTATTTTAAACAAAATTACTTGTATTAAAAAGAGACCTGTACCTAAGAAAAAAATGGTGGGGATAAGAGAAAAAAGGGGGAAGAAAGGTTGCCAAAAACAGCTGTCGGGGAAGCGAATTTGTGAGGGCATGGATATTGGAGGGAGTTTGGCCGGAAGTGGAATTGTGTTGGGAAATGGGACCCAATCTTGATGCCCGAACTGGTACGCCACTTTTGGATTCTTTTGTGTGCATATTGGCCTTGTCAAAGTCACTGGAGCCTTCAGTCCTTCACACTGATCGGGCAACTGACATTTCGCCCATTCCACAAAATTACACAAACTTAACCACATGTATACATGTACCCAAACAAACAAAAACGGCAGTCTAAAATTTTTGAGTAGCTAGGCGCAAGGGAATTTACTAGAGTAGTATTTCTTCTATTTTGATGTAAGATTTATTTAATTAATTTAATTAAATGAAAAATTAAATTAATTCATTAATTATAAGAAACATCATGTTATAATTATCTTCTTTAATATCTCATTTTCTCTCCTATTTGATTATAGTCGATAGGATATTAATAAAGATTATTTAGAAAAAAATAATAAATATAAAAAGTAGATTTTATATTTAGAATAAAAATCAACCCAGCAATTAGATTTTACATTAAGAATCAGATGAGTAGTACGTTTCATGCTTCATGTACACACGAACCCTGAGCATAAGTCATTAACCAGGAATTAGATGCCATTTTGATATCTAATTCTATAAGATAATATATATATAACTTATAAATGTTGGTATTGCTTTAAAATGGGCTGGTTGAATTCTTAGTTTTTAATTGCATTTCATGAAAAATAATATAAACAGCATTTATTGAATTTTCATGGGTTATGGCGTGCGCACGCACGGAGTTAAGAGAACGCGAAGAAGACGACAAGAACTTTGAGGAAATTAAAGCAGTGGAAGGCGTGGTGATTGAACACAAGTGTGGGGGCCATGTAGAAAATAATTGAGAGGAAGATGCAGAAGAAAGCTGCAAACATTGGATGGGACGATGACAAAACAAGCAAACAAAAGCATGAGGCTGAGTTCGGCAATGAAGAGCGCTCTCATAATATATTATTCCCCATAATTAGATAATTAATATTAGTCTTATATATATAAAGTCTATTTCATATATTCACCATTTCATAATATATTATTCCCCATAATTAGATAATTAATATTAGTCTTATATATATAAAGTCTATTTCATATATTTACCATTTTTTTAAATTAACCATATTGACTTCCTCAATAATAATTAAGTAGGAAAGAAAAGGAGGACATCAACGAAGATTTTTAGGATATTTAAAAAAAACATCATATTAACTAATTTAAGTAACATCTTTAATTTACTCAAACTAGTTAATTAGATCTTATATTAGAAAGCAAAAAAGTATCACTATTCAAGCAAACTGCTACATGCATATTGCTGTGAAATAATAATTTCCTTCATTTTTAATTAATAATCCTCCAGCGAAGCCAAAGTCTGGGAATTATAAATTAATACTTTCACATACTGCAATGACTGCGTAATATAATAATAACAGAACCCAAAGCCCCCAATTTAGTCTAATACGCTTGTATTGATATGGCGAGTCATGATCACATTTGAAAATCCGCAGAAAGTAAAGGAGTGTCAAAAGTGGGGCAGATGCTGCTGAAGGAGTTCCTCGCTGCGCTATTGGTTTAGTTTCCACTTTCCCGCTATGGCAATCATCGCCCCAAGAGTTTTTCTACCCCTTGCATTATTGCTTTTTCGGACCGATTGGCTGAACGCGACTTCCATTATCTCCATCCCCTTTTAATCATCACACTCAACCAGAAAAACCGATCGTTGTTATTTTTAATAATCAATGATGAACACCATGAAATTCCACGGGCAAAAAAGGGTAGTCCCAAAACACAGGAAGTCGAGCATGAAAAATAATCCAAGCCAAACACGGGTCATATTATTCAATTCACTAAAGTATGACACAGAGTATATACCGCATTTTATGGGTAAAAAACAGATCTTGGCAGCAACTGAAGCACGTGAGGTAGTCGGGCTCACTCGGCATATTCATCCAAATATTCCTCTACCATAAATACATTCAAACAAAATTTTCATTACATCATCAGTTGGATTGTGATTGTTTCTTTTTTAATTATTCTAACAACGAAATAAAAAATATTACTAGATTGCTTCTCATAATAATAAAGGGATTCTGGCCCCCCAAAATAATTGTTTGAATTATTTTTTCAAAAGTGATTCGGCCGAGTGGTTGCAGACCGTTCATGAAACTGCTCCAATAAAGGCTTTTGATAAATTGAGAAACCAATCCCCGGCAGGCTCACTTGCACGCTTCAGGGCCGGGCCCTCCTTTGTCATCTCATTCGAGTCCACTAATTCACTCAACAACACGCTTTATTTTCCCACAACTTCTCAACTAAAGCCCCCTTATCGTGCACCAAAAGCAGCCTTAGTCCTTAGAGAAATCCGAACAAGGATAAATAGCTACGAAGGGCAATCTAAGTGCACCAGGAATGCACCAAAACACACTTAGCAGGCCTATTTATAATTAAATTGATCCGCAATTCCTCAAGTCTACAAAATAGAGTTGCGAACATGCGTCCCCCTTAAACCTAAATTTTAATATCCAACGATAGACCACACAGCATATAGAAGAAATAACCGGACAAAATAATCCTACAGTAAATCCATTAAAAAGGCAACGTTTGATATTGGCCCTCTAAACATTCAAAAAATATATGAACACAGTTTCATCTCCCTATACCCAAAAGAGCATCTCCAGACAGCACAGAAGACAGCAACCCAGGGACCACAAAGTAGCAGCTAGCATGCAAGACACCAGGCCGCAAAGCATGCCAAGAGCGGTACGACACTTATGAAATTTTAGCCCTTGAGAAGTCCATCTCCGGATGCTGCAAGACATTACCAGCACGCATTAGTAAGGGGTCAATTCGAGTATGAAAAGCACAAGACCTGAGTCACTAACAATCAGGTGCTCACCTCCGCCATAAATTTCTTTAATATTTCCTGTTTTTGGAGCTCATCACTGGTTGGGAGGCCCATAGACTTCTGCCTCTGATCAAACTGCGCAATAGCATAAGAGAATTATTGATCAATAAACCCACAGACTCCAACATCTGTATATCAAATGACATCCAACAGCTCAACCCTTGCAACATTGCAAGACTTATCCGTGACAGGGCCTACAACATCAAAACAGCATGCTAAACAACAGATATGACTTTTTTCCCCCCCTTGTTATTACTTCCTGTAGATGTATTGACTTGTCTACACCGTGCACAATGATTTTATGCAGTACTAGATAAATCAAAAACTAAGCTACCCAAATTAAAAAAAAAAAAAAAACCAAAGGTTAAAATTAAGAAACAATTAAATCAACAATCAGTTACCATCATCTTTTCAACAGTCTGTCGTGTCTCTGGATCGAGGTCAGACAATTTGCTGTTTTCAGGTTCAACTTTTTGTGTGTCAATTTCAGGGTCACCTTTTACCAGACACTTCCACCAGTTCATTTGATCATGCTTGGTCAAAAGTATAGAAACAGCATTTTGATCCTCTGCAAAATCAATTTTATAAATGACTAGTAAGAAACAACTCAGGCCAGTGAATCACAAAGGCATGCCACTTCATAAACTGCTTGCAACAACCCAGTTTACTAGTATATGCTGCGATGTGTCTTTGGTTTTTGACGCCTTTGTTTAAAAACTTCACCGTTTTTATATTTGTATTGTGAAAACTTAAATCTGTTTATGCATGGAAAATTGGTCATTTACCTATGCTCCAATAGCAATCATCAGGCTTGACAGCGCTATGTAGCTCCCCCTGCAAATAAAGAAAACAACAATAATCAAATCATTCAGATAAAAAAAAGATTTAAAAAAAAAAACCAAAAGCCATGTAATTAACATGTTAATAGCGACGAAATGATTTCATTTGACAATCAATAATAGAAATCGAATCACAAACTTACATCAATAATTGGAGGCTGCCCCTTGAGTCCAACTTTAAGGTGGTTCTTCTTTATCTCACACACAACAAACCTTGATTTGGTTCCATTTGGCACTGGAACAATTACATTGATCTCCTGGAGGGTCTGAGTCCAAGAATATTTCTCCAGATCCAAGCCATTACCTTTGTTAGGAACTGAAAATATAGAGAACCATTAGGGAAACTTCAATGCTTCCAGAAACATTTATATTCTTAATCAAAGTCAAAAGGGATATAGATGAGATAATTCCTCAGGATAGTCATAATTACAGCAAGGACAAGGAACGACCAACCAAATGGGGAGGGCAGGAAGTAAAATCGCAAATGCCTCTCCCGGCCTACTCAAAGTGGATTTTTTTTTAAAAAAAAAAAAGGGAAAAAAAGGACACAAACTCCATAAGGATTCAATTGGAAGCATAAAAAGGACCAGTTTCCCATACATATATGAACCTGAGAAAATTCCCAAAACATATAATTTCTCAACGGCAAAAATCCAGCATCTCACGGGGGATAATTCGTGGCGCAATAAATCGTTTTCCTTCCAAAGGAAACAACAATCACTTATCACTAAACAGCTCACAGGTTCGTCGCAGCCCCCTTCCCAATCCCACAAACAGGAGACAGCAAGACAAACACCAAACCAAATTAATCATGCCGTCACCAAAGAAACAACGGAACAAACACCTCGGGGACCAATTCATCAACAAATTCAAAAGGGCGAAAAATAAACTCAGAATTCCATGCCCAGCATTTATGGAATCAAGATACCTAAACACCATCTAATCCATGCATATATTCCATCGGGCATCATAGTGAACGACATAGAGATACATTCCTAGGGCAAGTCTCACATCTACAAACGGAATGTTTTAATCGTTACCTCTCAAACCATTTCCTTCTTTCTCATCCTCCCGTTTTTCATCCTTCTCTTGTTTTGCTTCAACCTTCTCTTCCTTCAATCTTTTCTCAGCTTTCAACCTCTCCTCGGAGGCCCTCTGCTCTTCTCTCTTCTTCTTCTTCTTCTCTTTTGCAGCTCGCACCATCGATGCGATCTCCTTCTCAGCAGCCTCATTCCCAAGAAATTCACTTTCTTGGGCGACGAAGTCGAATACCTTCTCCAGAAAATCTATTGGATTCGACGGATCAAATTTAGCGCTAAAAGCCGAGGGTTGGGGACACGAAGACGAAGGCGATGCTTTGGCCTGAGACTCATTCTTCTCCTCCTCGTGGAAATCAGAGATTATCGCCATTGCTGATCAGTAAAAGCTTTTCCTCGCTCAACTTCAGAGTAGGGTTTAAGCTTGCCTCGCTCACACAGAATGGCTGTACCTTAAATAGAACGAGGAATGACGTGGAAAATTCCAGAAACTAATAAAAACAAAAAAAAAATGATATATCCTCTTTTTTCTTAAAAAAAAAAAAATCACCCTCTTCACTTTTATATGATTATATCTATGTCTTTTTTTGCCAGCGGATTATATCTTAGTCTATATCTTTTCTTCTCTGTTTTGACCCATATAAATTTATATCTACAATTTTTTGCCAACCATATTTATATCTATCCTTACGCATATCGATAATCTATAATTATTTATAAATTGCCCTGTAATCTATAATTGATATTTCATCAAGTTGGCAAAAAAAATTGGCATTTCATCAAAAAATCTATGGATATTTATTCATACTTAAGTAGGCTATCTATAATTATCTATATATAGAGAGGTTTTTACAAATTTCAGGTCCCCAAAAAAAGGAGGAGTTTTTGAATTCTTTGTCCAATCATTCCCTTGGCCCTCCAACTCATAGCTGGGCTAGGTTTCCAGACCTCTGAGTAATTATGTTTCTGAATTATAATTATAATTTCTTTTTCTGACCCTGATTTGGGCCGTCCAGCACATAACTTGGGCTCACCTTTGTAGCTTTCTAGACAAGGTGCTGCAGATGTGACAAAATTTTCAACTCTCTCTTTTTAATTTAATAACCAAAAATGAAATTAAAAAAAAACAAATATTAAGCCAAAATAAAATAATTTTGTAAACAAAAGGAATAGAATTTGACTCCAAAAAAACGAATAGGATGATTTTTTGTGAAAGTTAATCTCACTAATAAGAAATTCGCATGCAACAAATGCTTCAAAACATAGAATAAACAGTACTCCTCCGGTCCTAATTATAAGACCCAATTGACTTATTTGAGGAGATTAAGGAAGTAAGTTAAGTTGGATATTAATAATAAATAAGTGTTGTCATTCCTAAAATATCCTTGCTAATTAAGTATATTGGCTAAAACTATCATTATTAGAAGGATTATCTGGGAAAAAATTGCATAAATATAAGAGACAAAATGGATTGGGGTCTTATAATTAGGACCAAATAAAAATTCAAATGGGGTCTTATAATAAGGACCGGAGGAGTAATTCAAACTCAAATCGCTACCAATAACAATTTGTTTTAGGCGTAATACAATTGAAAGTTAGTGCCAAAAAAAGAAAATAGAGGACCAGGTTGAAAGGAACAAACAAGGGAAGAGACCGCAATTATATATTGAAAAACTTTACTCATATATTTCATATAAGAAAATTAAATACCTCGCGACTTTCTTTCACTTATATCTGAACCCACCATGGGCATCAAAGCTTACTGTTACTAGCAGTGCACACTGGGAATCGTAGATGACACCAATTAAACACAATAAATGCCAAGTACGTAGCCTGTTCATAAACGAGGTCGGTACAAATAAAAGGACGGAATCTGTTTTGGGCGAAGCAATAAAAAGAGGCTCTCAGAAAACAATTCAGACGATATCAGGAATGAACGTTTTCTTGACAACAGCGGTAATGTGCTTGAGCGATGCTTCTAAATCGTCGCACAGCAATTGAGGATCAGGAATGATGCTTGGTTCCACTGCCATGGAGATGGTCATCTGATTCACGTAGCTCAGGAAATGGATGGTCAGTGCCTGCATATATAACACATCATATAGATTTCAAAAATTATACGTACAGTACGCATACAATAAAGCGGGCATGTATATACACGTATATAAATTGAAGAATCAATTAATTACTTACATGTGGGTTACCATACACACTAGGGGCAAGGAATGTCACGGGATGACCACAAAAGCTAATTTCTTCCACGGGACCAACAACGTTGGAGAAGGTCAGTGTCGTGTTATACAGAACTCTCTGTGTTACAGCAGCAGCCACCTGCACACACCAAAAGATTAAAAAAGGTCATATCTTGCATGGAATCTCCTGCGTTTTTAAGGTCGCGAGTGAACCTTCATGCCAAATAGCTTGAGCATCAACTTGGCACAGCCAAATGTGCAGATAGCTTCGAGGGAATGCTTCTTGCGGTCGATGGTGGACTTAGCCAGACGAACATATTTGATGGGATTATCTTGTAAAGCGACTGCGAATGGGAGGATGATGTATCCTATCCAGTTACCCCACTTCACCTTTGATTTCTCAGCCATCATATCTGCTAGTTCCTAATTTAACAATTAACTGTCTTCAGTCTCTTTGCCACCTCCTCGATCGGTAAGAAACTATGTACGGGACAACTTGAGTTTTTCAATTTCGGAGCCAAATTTTGTTCACCTGGATTCCTGCAGTCGGTCTAACGTTGAAAAGAATGGCCGCCCTGAGCCTCGGGTCTTTGATCTTATTGTTTCGTCTTGGTTGCTCTGGGGCTCCGCCGGTGGCATCCACACCTTCATTAGAGACTATATGCTCAGCTTAAAACGTTGCTGATAACTGAACCTCATTTGTGGTCTAAATGATAATTAGCTTTTTGAGTATCTAAATATATTTTTAACGGAAGATGACTAATAATTGTTGTGTAAGCATGTCAAAGTCTCCCAGTTATCTTAATTACGAAAAGGATCAAACGAAATTAGTGCCATTTGATTTCTTTTGAACGGACAAAATTACCCTTTGTTGCCACCCTTTCCTCTTAACCGTCATTTGACCACCTACCAATATACAGTTGCCAATTACGCAAATTGCGACCTAAGGTCAAGGTGGTGGCGAGCGGGAAAAGAAGTGGGGAAAAGAGGGGCAATTTTGTCTTTTCAAGAAAGAAATCTAATAACACTATTACCACTCTATTCATTATTATAGGTCACTTGTACCTAAAAAGTTTGTTTCAAAATATAAGTCACTTGTAATATAATTAATGATCTTTTTCCAATTTTATCCCATTAATTTAATAAAAAATTAATTAATTAAGTCTAAACAATGGTTCCTCCAAACACGTCCTTCTCCCTTTACTTTTCTATCTCTCTCTCAACTTTTCATTTCTTATATAATCCATCTTCCCTCCCTCTCTCTCAACTTTTAATAAGGGTAAATGTGAAAAAAAACTGATTGATTTAATATATTTCTAAATTTGCGGATTTGAGAAACAAGTGACTTATAATAAAAAACAGAGTGGTACACTAAAATCTCTCGGGACTTATTCATAATTGAGCAAACTGATAGACGACATTTTGGGATTAACTTGCTCACACAGTACCTGCGAGTTTATTCGTCGTTTTAACATTTTTTTCTTTTTTTGGGGGGGGGGGTAAAGTACTTCATGAAAATGGGGGGAAAGAAGTGAGAAAAACCAACCTTGTATCCGATTCAAGTAACGAGCCAGACCAGCTTGTGTGATTCCCAGTAAAACATCATTGATGGTCTTGTCCAAATCCAACCAGAAAAAACAAAAAACTTTACGAGTATAATAAAAACATGAAAAGAAGGAAACCCAACTCCCATATGGCCATGCCTACCAGAGAAGACTACTCTTCAACTGAATTTATGATCGTATACCGCATACACATTAAAGGCGGAAACCTGAATAAGATCATACCAAAAGCTTTCCTTTCTTGAACCGTAAAAGACCATAAAATGAAAAACTGCAAGGACGGGCGATCCACACCAGACTCTCGTTCTAGTAGAGAAGTTGTCATATATAACTGCGCTACTTTTAGACACGTGACTTTTTAAAGTTTAAACAAAAGTGCATAATAAGAGTTGAATTATGTGGCCCCGTTCATTGATTTGACATAATGCCGGGCATTAAAGAAAACGGTAGGTAGTTATTAGACAGGACAGAAGAGAATAAAAGAAGATGGAGAGAGAGTTACCACATTCATGGCGGTCTTGACGAGCTTAATATCATCCAAGCTAACGTGGCGATGCACGAAACGCTTGGTGGTGTGCTCGACGCCAGGAAAACCTTTGAGAGGAGTCTGCGAGTCTTTGAGGAACAAAATGGTGGCAAAAAACATGATCATATCCACCACGGTGTTCCAAATCAGAGCTAGGCCAGAGAAAATAGGCAAGAAGAAGGAACAGAAAGAGGAAAAAGGAGGGGAGGGTGGGGGCATAACGGCCCTTTTCTTGGTGGGGAGGGTTGGTAAGGATTGAGGGTCGGAGGTTTTGCGAGTAGCAGAGAGAAGGAGAGAGATGAGGGAGGCACCATCTCCAAGGGAATGATGAATCCGTAAAATGCCTAGCCCTTGTGAGTTGGAGGTTTTGATGTTGAGGAGGTGAAGTTCCCACATTGGCCTGCTCCAATCTAACGGAGTTTTGGTGAGGTTGGAAGTGTAGTCCTCAACGAATCGGTCAGGGAAGTCTAAGTCGGGGTCTATTTCAGGCACTATCACGTGCTTCTCTAAGTCCACTGTTGTGGGAATCCACCAAGGCTTTCTTCCTTTCATAACCTGCAATACAACAAACACTATAACTTAACGCTCCAAGCACTTGCCATTTGCTTTTCGTTCTTTTCCAATCCAGCAATTTTTTTTTTCCGAGTGAACTATAGCCGGCTTTTTCTTTATCAATACACACACACACACAGAGGCCATGGACGGGACGGGAGGAGGTGGTGGGGGGCTGGGAAGGTAGGGTTATAAATGGTGAACATCTTAAAAACGGCCCTAGAATGCGACTTGTGGTTCGCAATTTGCAAGCGGAGCTGTTATGCGCATAACTAGCTAGTTCACTCGTCGCCTTCGATTTTAACTACTAAGATCTACGTCCTCTTTTGGATAATCAACCAAGTGAAAAGGACTGAAACCATATTCTTTGTGGGGTAGAGGTTTCGGGTGAGAGTGAGACAAACCTAATCCCCTCATCTTTTAATTTTGTCTTGGTTGGTCCTTTTCCTTCCTCCCTTTCATTACTTCTCAAGATGATATCATTTCAACAATAGTATCACATAATTAGCTAGCACGAGTAAGATAACATGAATATGTCACATAATTAAGATTTCCCAACAAGCACATGAACGATCAGTTTTTTGTCCCCTCAGCAACAGGGGTCTTAGCTAGGGGAACAAAAAAGGAGACTTATAGAAGCTACGCAGAGCGATGAAATTAGATGGTCTTTTTGGGGCCACTAGCATTTGAGCCCATCCCCAGCAGTTGAGCGTAACCTGCTTGATAGACCATTAGTTCTGGAGTGATGGCACATGAGAAAATGTTACACAAATAAGATAACATAACATTGAACTGCTGTCTACGAGAAAAAAATGATAATGATCTCAAAAATTTGAGATAAAAAAACGTCTACGAAAAAAGCGGCCTATTCTATATCAAAATAGGCCATTTATGTCAAAACTCTCTGCGCATACTGAGATGTTACGTTAAAGTTGAAGAGATCAGTGGGATTGCGAAAGAACCCATATCCACTGTAAACACTGCAATTTATACATCTCTACTAAAAATTAATTAATTAATTAATATTCTCCAGCCTCGGGCTAGTGGGCTCTTATTCACGATTAAAGTAAATAATAACAGAAGATATATACTAATAATACTTATTCTTCGTGCTTGTATTATCATCAGTACAGCAGTTTACCAAAAGTAGTTCGTAAAGATATGACAAAGTAGGTGCCTTGAGATATGTATGCAAATCAAATCCAATCCAGTTCAGCACAGAAAAGGAAGATCAAAACAGAGAGAAACACAACCATATATATGACTCATAAAGGAGAAGAAAACTAGTTATATATATAAAGCAGAATATGCACAGAGAAAGGGGCAAGGGAATTAACATTACCAGCTTGCTCGTAAACCTGGGATGCTTAAGCAAAGTATGGCGTAAACCTTCTTTAATAACATGAGGGTTCATTCTGGTCTTGACTCCGATGGAAGCAATGACGTAACAGTTTAAGGTTGGGGCATGAAATAGCTGAGCCCCCGGACTCATAGCTTCGCCCTTTGACACAGCGCCAGCCTCGCCGGAGCTACCCATTTCTCTTCTTTGCCTTTCGCTCTGTTTCCTACTTCTCTTCGATCTTGTAAATGCTAATAACTCTGCTTCCCCTATATACCTTTCAATCTTAAAATGTAAGCGCGTCTACGTTCATATATTGCAGCTACCCACAGTTTAAATGACTTTTGCACCCCTCTTTGGTCTAATGAGAATCATTAGTCTAGGTAGGTGGAAGTCATGGATGAAAGTGCGCATGGTAAATAAATACATCTGATGGCTGCTCCTCACAGTTGTTCTCTTTTTCCATGCCAGAAATCGAAATCACGAAATTACCCATACGTGAAAATGATTAAAGAGGACAAGATTACAACGAACAGTCAAAAAAATATCTTCCAAAAGCTGTAACAGCATCAGGTAAAACGGCATTAATTACCCGCCGCTGGGTTTCAATGAATTCTGAGCTTAATAAAATAATACATACAGTTAATTAGTTAATTATAAAATAATACTTTTTAATCTAAATTATAGATGTTTGATTTTGGATTTAGTGGCTTTAAAATCTGAAGTATGATGTTATTGCATATATGCTAAAATGTCAAATATACAAAAAAAAAAATCTTGAATCAAATCGTGTCAAATCTTTAAATTTTGAGGTAAAATATCAAATTTTCTCATATCAGAATATAATTTTCCCAGTAAGGATGTAATGATTCTTGTACACAAAATCAATTTTATGTAGGAATAATTTTGGACGGTTAATTAAGTTTTCCAGTAAAGTTTTACTTTGCAAGAGGACGCAAACCGGCCGGTAAGAAATAATGACAATGGAGAACTCAACCCTCCGTCTTGCTTAACTAGCTGATAGTTACTGAATTATTGGCTGTGCGTGTCTGCTCCTTTTCGTTTATGATTTTGATTTGCGATGTCTCATTATCAGATCTCCATAGGAATGCATCAAAGAGAAAAAGAAGGGAACAAGAAATTAATGCACAGGATAAAAAGGAAGAGTTAAAATAATTATATTGATGGGGAAAAGAAATTATTAGCCGTAGATTTTTGCGGGTAGAATATGGGACTGGGGAACGTGACTATATGAGAGATTTAAGAGTGCACATGGAAGAAATTAAGGTTAAATTGAAATGCTGTGTTTGGCTGTCTCCCCAACCACGTGTGGATTGGGTAACATAGAAATTTACACGCTTCATTAATTAATGACCTCAGTGGATTCTATAGTTCACATCAGCGACAGCTATAATTCCATATAATTATGAAATAACCCACATTATTGTTTTACCCGAATAACTGAGTATAGGTGCGTGCTGTACAGTTTGTTAGAGTTTTTATATTCTGTATATGCATTGATTACCCTTTTTATTAAGAGGCAGGCATGAAATAAAGCATCCGGTCTAGGCCAAGTAGTTTACCAGAAAAATCATGGTTAAATCCGAACGACGTCATTTATTATCACCGCGATTGTCTAAACGACAAAAGTTAGGAGCCGTATCGTGGAGGTCACAGCCATCTATTTAAGTGGACGGCATTTATACGTGTTTCGGGCCTTTTTCAATCGGCAGCTAGTATCATCGCCAGTTCATGGTGTTGAACGAGTTTTGCTTTTCGCAGGCATCAATAATTTCCACTTTTTCGCAGGAAACTCACGAGGCTGGCAAAGGATGTATATTTATATACACCAACTGACCATACAGCGCCAAAATCAGCAACGAAGTTGGCTACAGTTATGGAAGTTGAAGTTGCATGCGTTTCAGGACATTAGTGTTGATTAATTTGGAGAATTCTACAAAGGCATAACAAACTACTGCCTCCGGTCCTAATTATAAAGCTAGTTGACCATTTGAGAAATTAAAAAAAAAATTAAGTCAGTTATTTGTAATAAATAGGTATTGTTTTTCTAAAATATTATTGTTAATCAAGTGTAATGACTAGAACTACTATTGTTAAAGGACTATCTTGAGAAAAAAATATAACTATGAAAAACAAAGTGGATTAAAGTCTTATATTTAGGATTAAAATAAAAGTGAAACAGAATTTTATATTAAATACAAGAGATAGTACTACATACCCTGCATGCATTATTAGCATCACATGAACGTACGTATAATCATCTATAGTTTGTTGTAAATTCTGTCAAGCGGAGATTGATGACCTTGCGCAGCGTAAGAACTGAATTTTATCTTCCTTGCCGCTTTTGGTCAATTGATGACGGCATCGGAGCGGAACATTGTTCATGGCCTAATCGTCCAACTTCAAACGGAAAAAAGAAAAACAACACATTTAGGTGGATCATGTGAAATTAGAAAAGAAGAAGGACTGACTCATCCCTTCCTCAACCGAAACTATGATCGTATGCACAAAAATGGGAACCCGGATGAAATCAGAAAAACCGCATTCCTTTCTCAAGCCGTAGATTGGCCTCGCAATGCTTAGAGCTGGCAGCAGAGGCACACCGCATCACCAGCCAAACCGTCCAGATTTGCAGAGCTGCGTCCTCTCTTCCTCTCCCTCCCATTCCAAAGACGTGATCTGATTTGAAATCAAAGCCCCGCCTAGTAATCACGGCAGGATTCCGAATACCCTCCTGACCGGTTTAGAAGAATTCCGTACTCAATTAGTAATCCCGCACTACGAGCATCGCACATGGTTGGGTAACCGGCATTGCATATTGTGCAGTGCGCGTGGGCTATTCAGTGAGGTTGTTGTATGGATCATTAACTTTATGTTAAACCTTCACAACCATCGGGGGTGTAGCTCATATGGTAGAGCGCTCGCTTCGCATGCGAGAGGCACGGGGTTCGATTCCCCGCACCTCCATCTTCTACTCCTTTTTTACCGAAAGTGCCTTTCTCTATCTCGAAGGCTCAAAACCCTTCTATTTTCGACGCACGACGGCAACCAATGGCTCCCTACCTTTGTCTCGTCTTCTTCCACCACTTCTCGCCACTCGCCAATGTTGCTTTCCAATATTATCCACAGCACATTGCAATCGGTATTAGCGATTTTTGTTGTCATTCTTCAACTCCCGCCTAATATGTATTAGATTTTCTTTTTAATCTCGTTTAATTCTTAAGACAGCGTTACGGCTTTCGTGATGCTTTCTTTTCTTTTGCCTTCTTTTTTTGTTTTTTGTTTTAGGTTTGGGATTTTAGGTGATGCCCAAATCACGATTAAAGAGAGTTCGGAGCAATGCGTGTGATGAATCAGAATATCCCGCTATTCACTGATTTGCTCGCACGAATTTCAGACTTCACCCTGCAACCCATGGACCCTGATTGCGTCCGACAGCTCATTTCCAAGTTGACACGGTCTCTCTCTCTCTCTCTCTCTCTCTCTCTCTCTCTCTCTTTTTTTGTTTTTGGGCCTCACATTCCGAGTTAAGATTAATGACTCTTTCCTTCGTTAGCATTATGGCTTCACGTTCTAAAACCATTTGGGCCGAAGTCCTAGTTTAGACGAAAATCTATGCCCAGCTCATGTAACAGACTAGCAGTATTGGTCGGCCCATTTTTCCCAAGGCAACTAATACAATGATCATTGCTTCGGGCCCAGCAAATTTGGTCAAAACTATTATTAGCCCAATAAATTTGGGCCCAAAGGGCGACTTGATGGGGGTGTCATGTCACTGAGAGCAGGGTTTCCGCATGAAGGCACAGTTGGATGCTGCAAGGTGCAGTAACGCGATCAGTGATTTCCAGTTTCAGATTTTTCCCGAATATAATTGTTAATTTTGCTTTTGAAAAATCACATTCAAAGTCTCATGCACAGATTAACCTCAAGAAAATAACAGAAATCTGTCGGGAAAATTGTGAACCCCTCGTTTGTAATGAAACAGTCCATCACAAAGTCAAGAAGTGATAAATTTTTCCTAGTCTTCATCATCGTAAAGTTAATTCAAATGCTTCTGAAATTCTATGGACTTCAAAAACATAATCGTAAATTTTGTAAAGTCTAAGCGCAAGAAGGTTACCACTGAGAACTCCAAAATGTTCGTATGTTGGAGGGGAAATGCGACACAATGAATGTATGACTGGCAATAATCAAAACACGTTTTAAAAAGGGGTAGTTGTCGTGTGAATGGGGCAGGAAGGACAGGTCATGAGTGGTGGGTTCTTGAAAACGAAAAAAAATTATCAGGAGTATTTTTTTTTTTTGGGGGGGGTGTTTCCCCTCGAGCGCATACGGACATGCCGATAAGCTTGCAAGAGAAGTGATGCGCCCGCTGATGATATGCTTCGAGCCACGTATAACCGAAGCAGGTAAAGCCACTGATGATATCCTTCGACGAGATGGGATGATAAATGTCACATGTGCTCCCCACAATTAAGTCATTGACCGTATACGGAAGACCCGTGAGTTGTCAGATGTCAAGGCACGTACATACATACAACTGCCAGTTGCCACCATTTATTTCAATTTGATGAGCTTCACGTAACTGACCGATTTTATTGAAAGCAGCTTTTATGACCAGCGCTCAGCAAAGCTTCATATATCAGATCGCCGGACAATTTCAGGTCACCCTTCTCCTTCGGAGTGTTTTGAGATTTGCCTGAAAACACAGCTCTAAGGGAGGAATCTGATCATGTTCCGTGCTCGAACAAACTCTAGTGTATTCCAATGGCAATGAGTATCACTCTTCCGATTTTAATATATTATCTAATTAGTTAATTTGAACGGATTAGATGTGTTAATTAAATTAGTTACTATAAAATATTTGTTTTGAAAATACCTTAAACATCTTCTTCAATTTCATCTCTACTCTACCCTGCCCGTACTTGATTATTATTGATGAGAGATATCAATAAAATTAATTTGTGAGGAAAAAATTGATAAATATGTACAATAAGTCTTACGTATAGTTATGACTAATATTAACTCACTAATTAAATCCTATATTAGGGACTGAAAAAATAGCATATATTGAAACGATCATCACATGGATTTTGAACAAACATTATTCTGAAATGTCAAGGCTAACATCCAAGTGTGAGATGTAAA